CTCTTCATATAAGAGCACTAATCTCTTCATGGGGGCTCTACTCTCCTGACCTCATCTGAACCTAATTATCTTCCAAAGGCCCCATCTCCAAATACCATCACATGGGGGTTAAGATGTCCAGATGTGAAGTTGGGGGCAGATCATAATTCTGTCCATAGCAGGGATATCAAATACTAAATAAGCAAGTACACAGTGCGTCAGATGGTAATATATACTATGGAGAAAAATAAAGCAAGACCTGGGGAGAGTTGATGGGGCTGCTGTGTTATATAAGGTAGTCAGGAAATGCCTTTCTGATAATGTGACATTGTAAACTGTAACTTTACTCTGTGACTGACAGGGAGAATCATTGTAGACTTTTGAGCACAGGAGAGATGTGAGCTAGCTTATGTTTTAGGTGAATCCCTTTGCCTCTTGTATTGAAAATAGACTTGGAGGTGGGGTGGGTTAGAAGACCACTGCCGAAATGCAGGCAGGATCTTGCACAGGGTTACAGAGGCAGAGGTCATGAGAAGTGGTCAGATTCTTATATCTATTTTGAGCATAGAGTTGATAGGATTTGGTGATGGATTGGATGTGGGATGAGAGAAAGAGAAAAATCAAGGATGATTTTGTTGACATGAGAAACTGTAAAAGGAGAGTTGCTATTGCTTGAGATGAGGAAGACCAAGGGAGAAGTTTTTTTGGAGGGGATGGCAATTAAAGTTTGGTTCGGCTATTAGACATGACAGTAGAGAAGTCAAGAGGGCACTTGAGTATAGGAGTCAAGAGTTTTGGGGCCAAATCTGAGCTGGGGATCTATATGTGGAAGTCATCAGATCACAGACCTACTCAAAGTCATGAGACACAGTGAGGTCAGCAAGGAGGTCCCAGGACTGTCTCTGGGAGAAAAAGAGGAAGCATCAAAGCTGACTGAGAAAGAAAAACCAAGTAAAAGGTGATCTAAGAGAAAGTGCCATTTCAGAATCCAAGGGAAAAAACAAGTATTTTGAAAAGAAAGAAGTGGCCAACTTGTCAAATGCTAAAGGTTTTTCTTTGTTCGTTTTTTAGACAGGGTTTCACTCTGTCACTCAGGCTGGAGTGCAGTGGCATGGTCGCAGTTAGGCAGCCTTGACCACCTGGGCTCAAGTGATCCTCCTGCCTCAGCCTCCCAAGTAGCTGGGACCACAGGTGTGCACCACCATGCCTGGCTCTTTTTTTTTTTTTGTAGAGATTGGTTTTCACCATATTACTGAGGCTGGTCTTGAACTTCTGAGCTCAAGCAATCCTCCCTCCTTGGCCTCCCAAAGGGCTGGAATTACAGGCATGAGTCACTGAACCTGGCTTGCTAAAGGTTTTGGTGAAGAAATAATAGTGAAGTTCTGTCTACTAGACTGTCTGTTGCCCGCCTGGCATAGTATAAGGCTGGAACTACATTTCCCCATAATCCCCTTCCCTGTACAGTTCTTAGTTGGGCAAGAGAGAAACTTGCATTGAGATTTGGAAGATGGCAGTGAAGCAGAGCCATTATTCACAGAAAGTCATGGCAGCCAGTTGCGGTGGCTTTGCAGGTTTCTCCAGAGCTCCCATGTGTTAGCTGTGATGGTCATGTACAACCTGGAAATTTCCTGGTTTCCCTGTGAGCTTTGGCTGCTTCTCCCACTTCACTGCTTTAGTTTAGGGCCTAACAGGGGTGTCCAATCTTTTGGCTTTCCTGGGCCACACTGGAAGAATTGTCTTGGGCCACACCTAAGATAAGAGTAACAGTAGCAATAGCTGTTGAGCTAAAAAAAAAAAAGGCCCATGGATAAATTTCATTATTATTATTATTTTTTGAAATGGAGTTTCACTCTTGTTGTCCAGGCTGGGGTGCAATGGCGTGATCTCGGCTCACCGCAACCTCTGCCTCCTGGGTTCAAGTAATTCTCCTGCCTCAGCCTCTCAAGTAGCTAGGACTATAGGCATGTGCCACCACACCGGCTAATTTTGTATTTTTAGTAGAGACGGGGTTTCTCCATGTTGATCAGGCTGGTCTCAAACTCCTGACCTCAGGTGATCCACCCACCTTGGCCTCCCAAAGTGCAGGGATTATAGGCATGAGCCACTGCACCCGGCCAAATTTCATAATGTTTTAAGAAAGTTAGGCATTGTTTTCCTTTTTTAGCTGCAGTCTTTAATTCCTGTGTTAAACACCTTATTTCTTAATACTTGTAGTAACTTAATTGGTCAGTTTTCTGACCAATTCCAGATTGATAAATTCAGTTTGGATCTTTATGGGGTCACTTCAAAAATTCTAGACCCTTCTTAGGATTTAAAATGCAGTAGAGCCTCTGAATACCTTTATAAATTCCTCTTTTATATTGCTCCAAGAAATGCTGACAGGAGTCAAGGACAAACATTAATTAAGTAAACCTGAAGGCTATATGACTCCTTTACCCCAGAGATTTACTCATTTCTCTGTAGCTCATTGGACAGTCTGCCAGCAACACAAAATACACAAAATCTGATGGTGAGCTTTCCCTCCCTGTCAAGTAAAACTCTCTATTTCTCAGAGAAGTTTAAGTTTTTCCTCTCATTAATACTATCTTTATCCCCACAAAAATTAAAGCACACCTGGCTATCAAATCTTCCTTTTATTTTTTTTAACAGATAAAGTGCAAAAAGTGGATTGATATCATTATAAAATTATAGTTCCATAATCTGTCTCCTCCCATTTCATGTTATTTTGTTCAGTCACAGTCTGAGCATCTTCCTCATAGACCAGGAAGAGGGTTGACTACTTCTTAGACATGATGGGGTGCTCAGTCTTACCCTAGATCTCTATTCAGAATTTTAAAAAGGAATCTCCATGTGTTACAGCTTTCTAAAGTCTCATAGTCATGCACACATAAGAACCTTGCTTTAGTTCCCATCCACAGAATGTAAAAAACACAAAGAAATCTGCAGACCAAACAAGATCAAGTAGCAGCTTGCAATGTGAACTCCTAATCTCTGGGTAGATTTTGAAATGATCTGAGAATCTAATCATATTACATTTTAGACTTACATGAATCTTGTCAACTGTACATAGGTCATGACAGAAACTTAGTATTTTTTGGGGAAGAAGGTAAATAGAGGAGATGGTGGAAAGAAGACAAGAAAGGGTTTCTGTGGCTACAGTGTGGCCATGGAGCCAATTGAACCATGGCAGTTGGCCAGTATACACAGCCTGTGAACTGGAAATTCAACAAAAACAGAGATCAACAAGTGGTAGCATCCTACATGTGTTATCCTGTACCTTTTTTTTTTTTTTTTTAACTATTACAACTTGAAGATGATTCATATTGGTACATATAGAACTTCATCAGTCTTTTTGACAACTCTATAGTATTCTATTGCTTGTTTGTTCTATAATTTATTTAACCAGGTCACTACTAAGTGACACATTGTTGTAAATAATCTTTTTAAATTAAATACAATAGTGCAATGAATGACTGCTGTGTCATTTGAGGTTCATTCTGAAAAATTCCTCATATGGAATTGCCCTGACAGTGGATAGGCAGGTTTGAAATTTTGAAAGATATAACCAAAACTCTTCGCCCTAGACGAGTACTTGAGAGTGCCTATTTTTCCATGCCCTTACCAAATCAGCATCTTCACCCATTCAGTAGGACTAGCCTTTAAACCCTTATCAGTCATGCTCCAAAGTCTCTGTTCTCAGGAAACACCATGTTTATCACCCCTGAAAAAAACCAAAAATCATTCTTAAAAATGTCTGAAATCCCCTTACCTAGAGAGACTCATGGTTTGTGACATTAAAATAAAGACACACTTGGAAATGTTAAGGCTCTCTTTTACTCATTCACACAGCCCCACGAGTCAGCTCAACAGCCGGCTCTTTTAAAGGGAGGTGGCGACAAGGCGCGGTGGCTCATGCCTGTAATCCCAGCACTTCGGGAGGCTGAGGAGGTCAGATCACGAGGTCAAGAGATCAAGATCATCCTGACCAACAAGGTGAAACCCCATCTCTATTGCAAATACAAAAATTAGTTGGGTGTAGTGGCACTTGGCTGTAGTTCCAGCTATTGTGGAGGCTGAGGCAGGAGACTCATTTGAACCTGGGAGGCGGAGGTTGCAGTGAGCTGAGATCATACCACTGTACTCCAGCCTGGGCAATAGAGTGAGGCTCCATCTAAAATGAAAATAAAAATAAATAAAGGGAGGTGGAGGTGGCAGGATTTCAAAGGTTCAGTAAACATGGCCTAGGACTCGTTCTGCAGTGACCAGAGCAGGGAGCAATTCTTCAGAACTGGGTGGAAGCCTGGATCCCACCTGATCAAAACCCTTCATTGTGTTGCTGGAGAAAGAAGCCTAGAGAGGCTAGTGACTGACCCACAGAGCTGACCAGGAGAACAGGCAGGAGAGGACTGGACTTTCTGGAGTGTGAGGAAACCCGTCTGATTCTCAGGCAACTAACAAATCAGGAGCACTAGAGTAGCTCTGGGGGACAAAAATAAAATATTTAACAAAAATATTTATTGTTCATTATGGGAAAAATAAGGACTCTGTTGGACTTAGTTTATGGTATAATGTTGTTTGTATTTTTAATTTCATCCTGGGGAGGGAACACCATTGTTCCAATTCAGCCTGAAGGTGAACTTGGTGTCTAGGTGTCTTGAGCCAGTGCTTTGTTCCTTCTTCCTCCACATGCTCTCTCTATTTGAGCACCACTAGACATTACAATACAGCAGAAGAAAGTGGTATTTCTGGTTCTCCACTGTTTATTCTGATTTTAAGTAAAATAAATGGTGAAATACACACATTATGTATTATTTATTTATTTATATTTGAGGTGGAGTTATGCTCTGTTGCCCAGGCTGGAGTGCAGTGGCACAGCTTGGCTCACTGCAACATCCACCTCCCAGGTTCAAGTGATTCTCCTGCCTCAGCCTCCCAGGTAGCTGGGATTACAGGTGCTCACCACCACGTCTGGCTAATTTTTTTTTTTTTTTAATTTTAGTGGAGACAGGATTTTGCCATGTTGGCCAGGCTGGTCTAGAACACCTGACCTCAAGTGATCCACCTGCCTCAGCCTCTCAAAGTTCTGGGATTACAGGTGTGAGCCATTGTGCTGGGCCTTAATTTATTTTGAACACATTTTCAGAATTCCTAAAAAAATTCAGCGGGACTCAAAATTGCCTACATTTTAAATATAAGAATTTATAAACTGCTAGTTTCTAAGTATCATGTCTGCAAGTCAGGATTCCCGATCCAGAGACAATGGCCTTGATGGGATGGGGCCTGAAGGCGTCATCGAGAGTAACTGGAATGAGATTGTTGACAACTTTGATGACATGAACCTCTCAGAGTCCCTTCTCTGGTTTTGAGAAGCCTTCTGCCATCCAGCAGCGAGCCATTCTACCTTGTATCAAGGGTTATGATGTGATCGCTCAAGCCCAATTTGGGACTGGGAAAATGGCCACATTTGCCATATCGATTTTGCAGCAGATTGAATTAGATCTAAAGGCCACCCAGGCCTTGGTTCTAGCACTCACTTGAGAATTGACCCAGCAGGTACAGAAGGTGGTCATGGCACTAGGAGACTACATGGGTGCCTCCTATCACGCCTGTACTGGGGGGCACCAACATGCGTGCTGAGGTGCAAAACTGCAGATGGAAGCTCCCCATATCATTGTAGGAACCCCTGGCCATGTGTTCGATATGTTTAATCGGAGATACTTGTCTCCCAAATACATCAAGATGTTTGTATTGGACGAAGCTGATGAAATGTTAAGCCGTGGATTCAAGGACCAGATATATGACATATTCCAAAAGCTCAACAGCAGCACCCAGGTAGTTTTGTTGTCAGCTACGATGCCTTCTCATGTGCTTGAGGTGACTAAGAAGTTCATGAGGGACCCCATTCGGATTCTTGTCAAGAAGGAAGAGTATCTGCCCTGGAGGGTATCTGCCAATTCAACATCAACATGGAATGAGAGGAGTGGAAGCTGGACACACTGTATGACTTGTATGAAACCCTGATCATCACTCAGGCAGTCATCTTCATTAACACCCGAAGGAAGGTGGACTGGCTCACTGAGAAGATAAATGCTCGATATTTCACTGTCTCTGCCATGCATGGAGATGTGATCATGAGGGAGTTTTGTTCTGGCTCTAGTAGAGTTTTGATTACCACTGACCTGCTGGCCAGAGGCATTGATATGCAGCAGGTTTCTGTAGTCATCAACTATGACCTTGCCACCAACAGGGAAAACTATATCCACAGAATAGGTCGAGGTGGATGGTTTGGCTGTAAGGGTATGGCTATTAACATGGTGACAGAAGAAGACACATGGACTCTTTGAGACATAGAGACCTTCTACAACACCTCCACTGAGGAAATACCCCTCCATGTTGCTGACCTCATCTGAGGAGCTGTCCTTTCACCTAGCCTTAGCCCCAGCCAGAGTTCAGTCTTGGGGGGCTGAGGGAGCAGCTGGAGAGGGGAGGGAAGGGAGCCAAGGGATGGACATCTTGTCATTTTTTTTTCTTTGAATAAATATCACTTTTTGAGGCAAAAGAAGGAACCGTGAACATTTTAGACACCCTTTTCTTTGGGGTAGGCTCTTGTCCCAGGCACCAGCTCTTCTCCAAAAAACGCTAATCCATTTACCTAACCTAGTAACCTCCAGATCCCAGAGGCTCTCCTCACCTCAGCCGAGCTCCTTTGAAAGTGATTCAAGGGACTATGTCACTCAGCCTCATTTGCTGGACCAAATCTAGAGGGAGAACCACTAAAAGCCCTGAGTAAGGTTGCCCAGGGGATTGTCCCCAGGTGGGGGGAAGCAGGGGAGAGAAAATGGTAGCCATTTTTACATTGTTTTGTATAGTATTTATTGATTCAGGAAACAAACACAAAATTCTGAATGAAATGACTTGGAAACTGCCAAGAAAAAAAAGAATTTATAAACCTAGAAAACCTCAAGTAATATAAAAATTTATGAAAATAAGCATACATTATGATAGTATAAATTATTCAGCAATAAAATCTATAAAATAATGTATTTTAAAATTTCTTCTTTTTCTTAGATATCGGGTCTTGCTATATTGCACAGGATGGTCTCCAGCTTCTAGACTCAAGCAATCTTCCTGTTTCAGCTTCCCAAGCAGCTGGGACTACAGGTACATGTCACCACTCCCGGCTCACACATTTGTACCCCCTCTCTTTGAAGAGTACTTTTTGAAATTGTTGTATTCTTTTGTTTTTAGAGTGGCACTTTTTTTTTATTATGATAAGCTGTTCTATTTTGTTTTGAAGAGAGTGTTTCTGGTTTGTCTTTGTTTTTCTCAGTTTCATTGTGCACACACTGAGACTTATGCTTTCAGTGGAAGCTTTCCAATTGCACATCTGGTTGCTCATTGCAACCTTTATGGGTGTAGTCCTGTCTAGATATAAAAAGTTGAATACAGATTTGTTTTGTTGCATGAATTAAAAATTGAGTCATTGAGTTTTGAATACATAGAGGATTTAGATTTCATGTTTTTTTTAAATATAAAAATATCAGCAGCATTCAGAATGAAGTATGTATTTCAGTACTTAAGAATAACATAGTTTACCAGAATACTGAAAATGGTATCGTAAACACTAAGTACCATAGTATCAGTTTTTGATTCTTTTTCCTCTTCTTTTTTGTCTTTCTGTTTCCTGAGCTTTTAATTCAGATTTGTAAAATGACATGAGTGTGGCTGAATTGTGAATTATGTAGGCCCTCATGACTGCACCTGTGAATTTGACCGCTTTTTAGGAGAACCTTTTATTTCTTTAAGGAAATGCTTGCTTACATTTAAGCAACTGACTTAAAAATTGGCTTTTTGCAATGCAGCATATCTACTAGTCAATGTTTGAAAATATTAATTTTATATATAGTTCTTAGACTACAGTAAGAAAAGTTGGATGGAGACTTAACTGGTGAACAAGGATAAGAATCTAAGCCTTAACCAATCTGACAGCCCCTATTGAAAACTGATTTGAGCTGGTGAGTTCTGCCAAGTGATGGTGCTCTTTTATAAAACTCATGTCACAAACTAAAACATTTGCCCAAATTAATTCTTATAAATCTAGCCTCAGATGTGAAGAAACATCTATGTAAAGATTGCATTCACAAGGGATGTCATTCCCCATCATATCCATGTCAGTGCACCTATCCTTGAATTTTTTTAAGCATTAGGGTGAACTACATGAAATTGCTTTGTTTTTGGCAAAAAAGTAGTCAAGAAGCAGCAGCTTCTTATGGCATAAGCTATAGTTTGTTTCCTGAAGATGCTATTTCTAACATCTTTTTCTTTCCAAATATTTCTGGGAATATTTGTGATAAAAAAATAAGCATAGTTTACCTGTTTCTGTCTGTCCTAATTGAAATTGTTTCAGTCTGTCCTACTTGGATTTATTAACTGAAGCTGAATTAATAAATATCCACTGGAATCAGATGTTGGGAGAAAATGGCCAAAGGAAGCAGCTCTGGGTATCACTGTCGAGGTTCCCATCATAGTATCTTTCCAGAATCTTAGGGATGGCAGTACCGTAGGTGAGGCATCTGAGGTGTTTGTGGCTGTCCTTGACATCCTGTTCACCATTTTTTGTCTGGTCATAACACACAAGCTCCAAACCATCTACATTAGAAAGCCAATATCTAGTCCTAAACAGCTCGTTTTCGTTCATAGTTGAAAGAATCTTGGTGGCCAGCTTTCAGCACTGAAAATAGACTGTATTAAAATAGAATTACATTAGAATTGCAACCAAGTGCAATTAAGAACAAACCAGGCAACTTAGTGCAAAGTTTCAGCTCTTTTGGTAAAGAAAGACTTATTTTGAACTATTTTCTTTAAATTCTAATGTTACTGTAAAAATATTTACTTTAATAACTCAAAAGGTGCTGTTTCTTTTATAACATAGTTGAATACATTTTTCTTCTTCAGTAGTTCTTTCTTTCTTTCTTTCTTTCTTTTTTTTTTTTTGAGACGGAGTTTCTCTCTTGTTACCCAGGCTGGAGTGCAATGGCGTGATCTCGGCTCACCGCAACCTCCGCCTCCTGGGTTCAGGCAATTCTCCTGCCTCAGCCTCCTGAGTAGCTGGGATTACAGGCACGCGCCACCACGCCAGCTAATTTTTTGTGTTTTTAGTAGAGACGGGGTTTCACCATGTTGACCAGGATGGTCTCGATCTCTTGACCTCGTGATCCACCCCGCCTCGGCCTCCCAAAGTGCTGGGATTACAGGCGTGAGCCACCGCGCCCGACCAAGTAGTTCTTTTTATATTTGTATACTAACCGCTTGTGTGTATGGCATTAATTTTATGATACTTGAATGTGAGAGAAAGCACTGCAATAGGGGTCAGATACTTCTATTATGAAATTCACGCTGTAGTTCTATAAAGTGCATACATTAAAACATTATAAACTAGGTTATACTTTTCATTTTTGCCTGAAATCAAATAAATTTTATCTAGAATATCGGGCCCAAAGAAAATATAAATAAATACAAAAACTTGCACTATAACAATAAATCTCATTATGTATTCCTTTATACTGGAGAGAATTCCTTAGCAAAGGAGTCCGGGTCCCACTGGAAGGACCCCCTTCCATACACCGTTCCAATTCCGTAGCAGCCTCGGCTCTCTCCTCGACGGACAGCAGATGGCGCTGCGCTTCCCTTTTTGCGCCTCGGTGACGGGACAGGAGCCCAACTTTGGCAGAGCTGAGTTGAAGATTGCAAGCGACCTATTTGGAACTGGGAGAGCAATGGAAACTACGCATTTAGCATCACAATTTACTTCGCTTCATACTGATTTGTGCTCTGGAGGACGTGCAGTTTCTGTTATCCGTGATCCAGAGGGCTGCGTGTGTTGGATTAACCGGGCTCATACCGCTTCCAAACGGCTTGTCAGGAGAAGGTTGCTCAGGCAGGTGGAAAGACTGTTCTTAGCAGCACTCAACCAACACAGCAAACGGACATTCCCTTCTTTCTCATAACAAATTTGTATTTATGAAAGATACCTTGGTGCTCTTTAGTGGGCTATGGTGACAAGATGTGATTTGTAACTTTGAGAAGTTTGTGGTCAAGAAGGTGACCTGAAGATATTCAGTCAAAACTAAACAAACTCTGTGTTTCTGCTTCATGCACTAATTGTGTTCAGGGCTCCCCAGCAATCCGTCCTCTCTTTAGTCTTTTGGTCTGTGTCTGCTTTCTTCTTCTAAATCTGCTCCTTTGGGTAAACCTTGGCAAACGGATATATGTAGCTTTGTTTTCTTAAATAACTTTATAGAAATGCTTTATTAGTGGAAAATAATGGCATTGAGTATAATAATCATGTAGATTTCATCTAATTGTGATCGTAGGGATTATTTAATGCAACTGATTAAATAATACTGTGAGAAAGTGACACCTAGCCATGTGCAATGCCGTGCTCAGTTCACATACAGGTGGAGTGAGAACTCTGACCCAGGTTTCCTGAGCATCAGTCTAACAACCCATCTGACGTTATGTTCGATTGTATTTTTAAACAGGGTACAGATCGTAAATGTCAAGGTTAATTTGTCTCCCTGCCATGCAGCTCATGGATGGATTTTGGTCACACTCATTGCACAGCCATACATGCAAATCCCTCACCATCATTCCCCCCAGTCAGTGGCTTGGTTCTCTTTGCTGCTGTTCCCTTTGTCACACCTATACCATGCACTAGCCCTGTTGTGCTGGAGCTTCCTCTCTAGACTATGAGGTTGTCAGGAACACTTGTGCCGTCTCTCACTCATGTTTGTATTCTCTGTGTCCTGCGTAGTGTCCGACATCTCATAAGCTCTTGGAAATGTTGACTGAAGGAGTGAACTTTTGATGGAGAATACCTTGAAAGTGGCAAACCAGCGTGTGGTGGGAAGACCTCCTCAGGTTCTGAACATAGAGACACGCTGGAAATATAAGAGAAAGCCTTAAATGTAGAGCTAAGCTTGAAAGTGAGAAAAGGCACTCTGACATGCTAAAAACAAAACAAAACAAAACCAAGCAACAGCCAGAATTCAGAATGCTGCAGAGTAGAAGCAGAACAGGACTAGAATAGGTGGCAGGAAAGGAGATATTTTCAGCAGGATGAATTGCAAGTGAGTTTATATATCCATAGACACTTACATGACAGGCAGCCATTCTATCTATGGACCTGAGCTTTGCTTTATATCTGATTGCAAGGCCCCAGCACTAGGGCACAAAAAGGTGCATAATGACTGCGTGCCCTGGATATTCCTTGTTTTGTGAGCTCAAAGGTACCACAGAAGCTTCTTTGGGTTTGTATATTTTGAAGGGTATCTGATACTAGAGACAATCCAATAAGTCAGTGAAGGACAGGGGTCCCTGAAGTCACTTTAAACAACTCTGGTGTCTACAGGAAACAAAGGAAAAAACAAGGAAAAACCCTAAATTAGCCAACAGGCTGTTTAATAAAACAAATGTCTTATTCCAGACGATGCTGCCCATTTACCTCAAATGTGTAGTTTATGGATGTTTGTCATTCTGTTCTTTCCTTATTTGTGTAATGGGAAATATTTGCAGTCAAAAAATAGGTTCTGCAAAAGATTTCATTTCATTTAAAAACTTCAACAGAAACATGATTGTGAGTGCCCTATATCCCAGGGTTTGTCAGAAATTTATTTAGAGTCATTATTGGGGCTCTTTCCACCTCCCTTGGGTTGTATAATAAGGTTTGGATTCTGTCCCCACCCAAATCTCATGTTGAATTTGAGGAGGCTCCCGGTGGGAGGTGATTGGATCATGAAGCCTGATTTCTCCCTTGCTGTTCTCATGGTAGTGAGTGAGTTCTCACAAGATCTGATGGGGTTTAAAAGTGTGTGACATTTCTCCCCCTTTGTTCTCTCTCTTTCCTGCCACCATCTTTTGCCTTCTGCTA